CCTGGATCACGCCTGAGTAAAGACTCATAAAGAATTGGAAACTAACTTCTCACATTCAGCATCAATAGAGCAACAAAACTGTGGGAAACATGAATGACTAATTGTCAGAACTGGTGGTCTCTCTTAGGCTAGCTTTGACACTCTGAGCTATGGGTTACTCATTCAATTCTGCCATAAAAGCTGTTAGTCTTCTCAACTGTGAAGGCCATACAAGTTTACTTCGGCTATTGGGTTCACACGTACATGACTACTTGTGAGTATAGCATGGTTCTTGAAAGTGTCATGTGTCCAATACTTTTGCTTTTGTACAAACAGCAAGCAAGCATTGCATGTTGTTTTAAACTAAGGAGGTTTTGAGATATAATATCCCTTTGCTTCTGGGATAAAAGGAATCTATTTCATGTACCCTTTAATTATATAGTCAGTTTACAAGAAGTAGCAGCTATATTGACTGGTAGGAAGGAAAAGTTGCACATCCAAACCAATGTTAAAGTATTTTTATCAGACAAATGTCCAGTGAGTGATGCAGATTTAATTATTTCATTGGATTTGTATTTCACCTTTCAAAAACTCAAAATTATTTACATAGCACTCCATTCCATTTAAAATAACTCATGAAAGCTCTATATATGACAAAAGAAGTTGAAAGAATGGTGTATTTGCATTTGGCTGTCCCCAGTTCAGGTCCAATACCTTAGTTGCCTACATTTGAGTGGCAGGGTGGCCTAGAGCTGAAGACACTTGCCTCCCACTTGGAAGGTTGAGAGTTCAATCCTGGGCAGTGCAAAGAGAAAATATCTGCTGTGAACTCCACATAGGGGTCAGGAAGGGCAGCGGGCCAGTTGTTCAGTTCCATTTAGTCTCCACCCTGATAGAGTTGTAAAAAGAAAAAAAAATCTTAATTTTGTACATTTAATTGGTGTGAAAGTGTATGTAAATGAAATTATAGAATACAGAGCCCAAGCTTAATGATTTCTCCCCTTTCATTACATCATTCTGTCTGCTTTGGACTTTAGTTTTCCAGTATTTTTTTGCATATTTAGTGAAAGGTCTAAAGGGAAGCAGTAACATTTCTTCTCCATCAAACTAACAACCCGTGGAGTGAATGTGTCACACACAGGCCACGCCCATCCCTGGCTCTGCAAAGGCAAAAAAGTCAATTTTGATACCCATGTTCTGCATGATCTAAGTAAATTTAAAACTGTATGGAAAATGCTTTGCTCAAAATGAAGCCAAGATTGGGATGGGCAGGTCAACCGGACAGAGGGAAATAAGGTGTTCACCCTCATTCTGTACTGTGCTTCATCTTCACAAATTCTGTCAAGTACCTGACTGGGGTTTAAACAGCAATAGGCTACAGTATAGAAACCCATATTGGGCCTAACTAAGTTGCAAGCAAACAATGGTTGATCCTTCATTATGAAAGTATGAAGTTCAGCTTTTAACTTGAAGCTGTTTTTCATTCTTTTGACAGAATGAGGAGGTTCTTTGATACATGAGAAAAAGAAGTGAGTAGAAACAATTTTTTATTAACTAGACTTTGGAAGCTTGCAATCTATTGTGACCTTGAATTGGCTTAATCAAACTATATTTCAACAGGGATTTGAAACATTAGTGAAGGAGAGTGAATTGCCACAAATATTATCATACGTAGCTTGCTTAGTAAGATAAGGAAAAATCTTAAATATAAATATGTTGCCAGTTTAATTTGGTTTTACATTATTTCAAAATAAGATAGTCACCATTGTCCACACATTAAAGGTCATATGATAACATTAAGACATGCATTAAACATTGCTTTCTATTTTTTTCAAAACTTGCAATCTGTACTGGAACAAGACGAGTGGGAAGGAACTGCTAAAGCTGGAGGAAAATACCACAACCTCAGAGAGTAGCCAACATTTGCTGTAAATGGCCATCTCTAGTAGGATAGTTGAAGATTTATTTTTTAAATAAATGGCTCCATGTATTCAGTAAATGCTGACATGACCAAGGATAGTCTTTGCATGAAAAGATCTGTTCTGTCCTATGAATAGGATCCCTACAAATGAATCCCTGGTCATGGAATAGGACAAGGAAACATATGCATGTGGAAGATTCATGTTAGTTTGAACATGGAATGAGAACCTGAGTGAACATGGTATGCATCTCTCCTCCCCATAACATTTCTGAAAGGGTCTATGTAACAATTCCCAAACTGACATTGCCCGATTTTTGTACATTCTGTGGAAAGTGACAAAAGATTTTTAGAAAAGATTTTACCATGCATGCGCTCTGCTGAATTTTTTGTGCATAATTCATCACTATCCTTTTGCAAGCTTACCATACTTTCCAAATATTTCATCTCCTTAATTGTGGCTTCCCAGTAATAAAACAAACCATGCCATTGAGAATATATTTTTTAAAAAATGTATTTAACCACTTTCCTTATCAAGTGATTTTTAAACAATTATTTGGTACATACACAAAACATTTGCAAAATCCCATGTAATATTTCTTTTGACCTTTACCAAAGGAAAGTTTCCATCGTAATTTGATCTCTATAGTTTTTTCACTGAAACATGGAATGCTTTGTAGTTACATTTATAGAATGTAACAAAATTTTAGCAATCGCTGATCAAGTTGGAAAACTGCTTTTTATTGGCATCAGGAATGAATGTTCACATCCAATACTTTAGCCTTGTTTGATATATTGTAAGTCTTCAAAGAATAAAGCAAATATGAGATGTTTTCTCTAGCATTTCCCGCAGAAAAATCTAAAAAAATATTTCATTTCTCCAAGGTAAGTTTGAAAAAAAAAATCAGAAAAATAGCGCATAATAAAGTGACAAACCAGTTTGCAGTTTATCACTAAAAACCTCAAATCTGTTTTGTGATTTCAACTTTTTTAAAATGAAGCTTGTTAACTTGAGAAATTCATTTCCAAGAATATAGTATATTAGGAACAACCAACCCATACAATTAATGATTTTGGCATTTGGTGCCCCCTAGTGCAAACAAGGTGCTACAATTTTTTAAGCTTTGGACCCAGTTACTTTTTTACAAGTTGCTTTATTACTACAGCTTTTCCTTTAAGTATTCAGCACACAGAGAAGCTTTTTCATGTTTTATTGCTTTGAATGTTAGCTAGTTGTTCAAGCCACATATCTGCCAACAAAATGCTCTAAAATTACACCAATCATTTAAGGCATCAACTACTGTAAGTATTTTTAATAGTGGTAGAAAGCAGATCAGGGCCATCACATAGTCAAAAGTGCATACAATTTGTAAAATCCAATAGTTTCAAGCAAAAAACTAAAACCTAATGGTTTCTTAGGAATTTTCAACATCCTGTTCAGTATCCAGGATGAAGATACAAAAAATAGAAAATTCCTGTAGATGTAAGATTCCTGTAATTTCTTTGGAGTTTTGCTACAGTGACCTGTTTGAAAAACTGACTGCTCAGAAACAAAACTTCATTTGCTCCCAGCAATGATTCAGTCTGTGGTGTCGGCTTCATGATTTTGAAGTATCAGACATTTGCACGAAGCCTTCATTTGAGCCTATTTCATTTTGAATGTAATCATGACACGGTTTGCTTTAGGGTCCCATTAATGATAAAAGTTAATTCAACTGTGTGTGTAGTGCGATCAGATTCCATGCATCAAGCTTAATGAAATTGGGAATCTCGAAGCCTTATCTATGCACTCATTCTGAGAAATGCCACACTATAGCGCTGAAGACAGGGAAAACGAAAGTTCACATAGACCATATCAAAAGGTTTAAGAGCTAATGCTGTACTCATACAGCTTTGCAAGAAAATGCTTTAAATACAAGTTTTAGAATTATTCAATTATGCACACAAACACTGAAAATCAACCTACCAATTCCATTGTCACCAAGATACAACACATCATTAAAAATTTTAAAAAGCCGTGAACTTCTTCCTATAAAGCAGTTCTAAGATTAAACAAGAGGGTGTTGAAGAATACTTCAAAACATCCCACTCAGCACCACAAAACGTTTCTCTTAGATCAGAACTCCCCCCAATCTTTGAAATTGGACCAGGGTCTGACAGTGAGAATATTGGACAACTGCAAATCTATGAATGAGAAACTTCCTTCCCTCACTGATTCCACAGAAACTGTGGCAGAAGCATCTATGCTTTTCCATTGCAGCATTCACCATCTACGCATGGAGGGATGACAGGAGTTGAGGTTAGCATCCTTCAACTAACTCACCCTTAAATAGGAGTGCTGCAGAATTTCATGATGCATCACAGGACAAATCCTTACTATATTTAAGTAAGAATTTATTTGGAGGAACTTGGTATAGACCAGGGGTGTCAAACTGTCAGCCTGTGGGCTGGATGCATCATAGCAAAACCGCGCCATCCCATTGTCGGCAATGGCAAAAAAGTCGCAATATGTCGCGACACATCAAGTGAGTTTGACACGCCTGGTATAGACTGTTAAATTGCTGCGACTAGCAGAAAAATCTGTTATGAATTTACCACCTATCTTTTTCTTTTCTTCCCTGTCAAGCTACTTTACCTTACCTTATTTCTATCCTGAACATATAGCTGTAAGAGTGATTTGTGGTTTATAAACAATTTATTTTAATCTTTAGATATTAACTGAATTATAGTAAACTTTTTTTTTGTTCTGCCTCTACCCACTTTTAAACATGTCTCTGTGGATTTAAAACAAAACAAAGTAAAACAAAGACTTTATCCTAAAATGAAAAGCCATCTTGATATTTGCATTGTTCTGATACATAAATCAATATTACTTAAAACTTACAATATAAGAATATTACGAAGAGAGTACATTATGCGCCATATGAGAGAAATAGATATTAGAGTTGAGTGAACTTTGTGTAAGCTCTCCAAAAATCAGGGTGATTTTAGATATATGGCCAGAGTCAAAAACACCCATATAATAGGAAACAAATATAATAATTCCATTTAAATAATACTCCTGTATTAATTTTTAATAACAACTTACAATCATACTACATGCTACCCAAAAGCTTGTGAATGAAGTTTATTTAGGATGAATGGTGAAGAATGCGATACAATACAGATAAGACACTTTCAAGATGAATAAAGCTCTAATTGCACAGGAGGCTTGAAGTTCACCTCAACTCAACACAATCAAAACCATTACACATTTTGCCATCTGAAAAATAGGAATGCCATGCAAAATTAAAAACATTCTTACCAACCCCATGGTACCATTTAAAATGCTACCAATATCACAATAATTTACATCACATTAAACAATCATTCACAAAGAATGAAATATTTTCAATAATGAAAAAAGGTTTTCAAAATCATAGTTAGCATAGTTTGCATGAATACTTGTTTAGGTATTTGGCTAAGCTAGTGAATAGAAAACATGCAGTGCAAAGACCTCTTTTATTCAACTGAACTGTCCTTTATCCAGCAGCGATCACAACGAAGTGATGTTTACTATATTTTTCACATGATTTTATAACCATTCATGCACTGACTACATGTGCACTGCAAATTAATTAAGACTCAAATCTAAGATACCATATGAACCAGACAATTTAAGCACTCTTGGCAATTGTTAAAAACCATAATGTATGAATGATCTATAATTAAAAATATATCATGGGACACGGTCTGAAAGGTTGAAGAACTGCAATTAACTGCCTCATTTAAAATTGGATCAATGGAAAAAATTGAATTTTATATATATAGATATATATTTTACATATGAACCTGTAAAGATGAAAAATACCTTGATTGAACTGAAGGAATAAGGAAACTACATTTTAGAAAAGGGTGTGTGAAAAAGTCTTCAGTGTTTTGAAGGATGTGGGTACCCCCTTTGTCCCGCATGCAAGATTCATTTTGCTTTTATAGCACACCATTTTATACCGAAACAGAAATCAAGAAGATATGCTTGTTCAGTCTTAAATACCCTGTTATAATGAGAATCAAAAAGTTTCTCTACATTAGACAAATAATCAGCTAACCTATCCCCATTCAAAAGATATTTTAAGTAGTGATCAATGTGATGAGTAAGTGGAATGTTTACTAGATTCCTCAGGAATGTGCACAATCTGGAACAATCTCCTGGAATACATTTTCCTCCATTAAACTCAATTAACTGAAGAAAAGCCAAATGATGCAAGACTTTCAAGAGGTCCTTTTCACAGCTATTTGTGATGAAATGCAGACGGGGTGTGTGTGTGTGTGTGACATTTAAATGAAGTTTTCCATGTACTGCAGTTCTGAAACATTTTACAAATACAATGCAAATAAATATCAGGCTAGTAGAAAAGTTCTTATTTACAGTTTTACAAATGCAATCGTTCTCTGTGTAAATGTAGTGTTTTAAAGAACACACTTTTAATAAAATGAGTTCCTGTATAGCAACAAGTTGTTAGATTTCACTGAAATGGCAAATAGAAAACAAAGTTCAAGTTAATATCTGTTTTATAATTTAGTACAGACAAACCAGTGTCACCTGGAATGAGATCTGTTAAAGTGCTGAAAAAGTTTCTGAATTTTTAGAAAACTTACTATACAGTTATTAAAGCTTCATCTGTCAAAAATGTTAGATTTTATTCACATTTTCTACCACCAAGTTGGGGAAGAGGGGAAGGAACGATATAAGTGTATATATTAGCAATTAAGAGTATTGCTAAATTTGATCTTTGTAAAATAGCTGGAGTTTCAAGCTTCTGTGGCAATTTCAGGCTTCACAATCTGGTAGGTAATCAAATATTCTGGATAGGCCTGAAAGATAAAAATGAGATTATTATTTCTTCACATTTTAAAAAAGATATTATTGGTGGTCAAAATATTTAGAGTAAGTAAAACCAAATATTGGTGGCGAAAAATATGTATGGCAAGTTAAAATAGTTAGAAGATATGTAATGTACCAGTTTTGAATGAAGAAACAAGAATTATTGCTTTAACTATACTCATTTAATATTGAAATAAACTTTACTGAAAGCAAGAAACTGCCAAATCAGTGCCAGAAGTCCCCATTATTTTTGGTCCAGTGAGGTATTTGCAGTTTTGAAAGATAAATGGCATATTCACAAAATGGCTGCCATGAAAGGCCCATGGTCAAAATGAGACTATAGGGAAGGCATGTCAAACTTGCGACATCATGTGACGTATTGCAACTTTCCCCCCATTGCCGGCAATGGGGTGGGCGCGGTTTTGGCGTGACACATCTGGCCCACCAACATGCCTGCTACAGGGAGTATCTGCAAGTAATTATATAATTCCCAAAATTCTTTCTGCAGCCCCCAGTTTATTTATTTATTATCAAAATATCTTTTTTTAATGTATTTTATTAATTTTTCCAATAACATTCTTTAGTGCTTAGTAAATAGCGTGTTATCTGGGTCCAATGTTTAAAAAACAATCAATAATGATTAATTCTATAATTCCATAATCAATATGTTAATTAGTGATAAATTTCTTTGATCTTATCTCCATCCAATGGTATTCTTCTATCAACATTTAGCAAATATCATTCTTAAAATTCAATACATATAAAGTTAAATATAAACCTTTTTCTTGTATTTATACAAATAACAGTAACATCAGCACATAGCATCTTTTTTATCATATATTTCAGTTGTATTTATAGTAATCATCTTATTAAATCACTACATGTCCTGTTTTCAAAATGCTTATTTAAACTTTACTTTCCCTCTGATTTCAAACCATTTATATCAGTCACAGTTTTCTCAAAGTTAGCAACCTTTAAATATCCAACCATTTCATTCATATTCATCACCCCAATATTTTCACATTTCATATATTATAAAAATTATGTTGGAATATTCATGAACAGGAAGAGTCATGTGGTAACTCAGTCAGCCAATGGGAAGAAAGTGCTACTGAGTCTGTGCAAAAGAGTATTGAGTTAGGAGCTGGATTTCGAGTCTCAGGTTTTGTCTCTGATCTGTCTCTGTAAGAAGTCTTCATTAAGCTATGTTGCTATAAAGAAGAATGGTATTGTAAATATTTTTATATAAATATAAAGTTATTTGAATCAGCTAAATGCAGTCAACTGTGAGAGCTTCTGATTTATTTTTCACCAATAGAGAAATTAAAATTCTCTAACAGGTTATGGGCCCAGAGCTTACTAAGGATTGCATTGTAATTTAAAGCTGGAAGAAATTGCCTGTGTTTAGAAAGTATAAGAACAAGGCAGAATTAGCAGAATGGCTGCAATGGAATTTAAAGAAAGCTGTGTGCCTCGTTTGGGCCAGAAGAATTACATTGTGTGGGCTGCAAAAATGGAATGTTTGCTGAAAGCAAAAGAGCTGTGGTATGCTGTTGAAAATCCACCACAAGTATTTGCAGCTGCAGATCAGAAAAGCCATGATCAAGCAATAGCTTATCTTATGTTGAATTTAGATGATGAACAATTTCTAAATGTTGCAAATTTAAAGACTGCAAAGGAGATTTGGTTGAAATTGAGAGCTGTGCACGTGAATGTTTCTGCATGCAATATAGTGCAATTGTCAAGAAAACTTTACAGGGCCTGTTTTCAACCAGGTGAATCTGTGGAACAGCATTTAAATAAAATGCAAAGTTTATTTTTGGACTTAGAACAACGTGGGATTAAATTCCCTGAGTCCCAGAAGGTTTTATTGGTGTTGAACAGTTTAGATAAAACCTGGGACACAGTTTCTGCCATATTTGAGTGTAAAGAAGAGCAAGAACTAAATTTTGAAGCTTTAAAGGCATGTTTGCTTAATGAAGAAGAAAAACGCCATTTTAAAGCAGCCACGAGGAGGAGGAGAAATTCCTGAGGAGGGGGTCCAGACTGCAAGTCTCCAGAGGAGAAGAAACAAGCAGATCAGACCCGGACCAAATTGCAACAAAAGAGAGATTTTGCAAGCAGAGAGCTTTACAAGTAAAGACTGTGGAGCGAGCACACATTTGCAGAGGAACTGTTTGCAGAAAAAGACATTTGTGCAAGGAAAAAGGACTGTTTTGCAAAAGGAACATTTTGGTGTTGCAAAAGTTTGCAATAGCAACAACAGAGACAAGTGGCTGGGGCAAGTCAAACAATTGTTAATGACTCTGAATTATTTTGCAGGTTTGTTCCAGTAGCACAAGAAGCTGTGGCTTTGGCAAATGGCCAGAAAGCAAAAGTCATTGGAAGAGGCGATGTAAAAATTCCATATTTGGAATCAAAGTTTACCAATGTGCTTTGTGTACCTGAGATGGAACATAATTTGTTAAGTGTGTCTAATTTAGACAAACAAGGTTTTGAGGTCATTTTTGTAAATGGGAAATGTCTCATCAAAAGGAATGGGAATATTTGTGCAGAAGGCATAAAGGAAGATAATCTATATGTATTGCAGGGACAAAAGGTTCAATGTTCCCATATATTTAAGAATGTTGCAGAGCATGATTCATGTGTTCATCTTCTACATAGAAGACTTGGCCATGCAAGCTTTAAAGTTTTGCAGCAAATGCAAGATTTTGCAGAAGGGCTAAATTTGAAGGGATGCAAAACATATTTGGACTGTGCAGTATGCAAAGCATCAAAGTCAAAGGCATTCCCAGTTAGTAAATGTAGCACAAGACAAACAAAAAGAGTTCTAGAGCTGGTCCATGGAGATCTGGTGGGACCTATGCAAGCCAGTTTGGGAGGAGCAAAATATGCACTGGTAATTGTTGATGATTATAGCAGGTATTCGTTTTGCTACTTGCTTAGAGCAAAGACAGAGGTGCTACAACAATTCAAACAGTGGGTAAGTTTTGTAGAGAGAAGGTACAGACAACAAGTGTGTCAGTTGCAAACTGACAGAGGTACTGAATTTATGTCAACTAAATTCCAACAATGGTTGGGGCAGTTGGGGATAAGACACAGACGTACAAATCCTTACACAGCAGCAGAGAACGGTGTAGCTGAAAGAAGGAATGGTGTTTTGCAAACAATGAAAGATTCATTATTGGAGGATTCTGGTATGAGCAGGTCATATTGGGGAGAAGCCATATTGACTGCCAATTATATAGTTAACAGGCTGTGGAGTTCCTCCATTAATAATACTCCATTTGCCATTCTATATGGGAGAAAGCCATCACTGGCACATTTGAGAATTTTTGGAAGTACTGCATGGGTACATATTCCGAAAGTAATCAGAAGAAAGGGACAGCAAAAAGCAAGAAAGCTCAGGTTTGTGGGCTATGAGCCAGGGTCAAAAGGGTATAGCTTTAGCGATGGAAGTGAAAGAATTATAATTTCAAGGTCTGCTAATTTTTGCAGAACAAAATTGGGACAGAATGCAAATTCTGGGTATGTCTCACTTAATGACAGTGATCTGTTTAGTGACAATAACTCATCTAATGATGAAAAAATGTTTATTGAAGATGTCAATGTTCAGGGAGGAGAAGCTGAACAAGACATGAAACCAGAAAGACTTGAGACACAGGAGCAGTTAATACCACATAGATCAGAGCGATGTAATAAAGGAATTCCGCCTGACAGGTATTCTGCCAGCAAGGTAAAGGTTTGCAATGTGTGGTATGAGCCAAGAAGTTATAAAGAGGTGTTGGCATTACCAAAAGCTGAACAAGAAAAATGGAAGGAGACCATGGATAAAGAGATGAAATCCATGGGAGACCATGAAGTATTTAAATCAGTGACTTTGCCACAGGGAACCAAAGCTGTGGGTTGTAAGTGGGTATATAAGAAAAAGGTATTGCCAAATAATGATATACAGTATAAGGCCAGGTTAGTGGCACAAAGTTTTTTCACAATTTAAGAATGTATTAAGTCAATAGGTCTGATGTCTCTTCCTGTCATGAAGGGAGGAGTGTTGGAATATTCATGAACAGGAAGAGTCATGTGGTAACTCAGTCAGCCAATGGGAAGAAAGTGCTACTGAGTCTGTGCAAAAGAGTGTTGAGTTAGCTGGATTTCGAGTCTCAGGTTTTGTCTCTGATCTGTCTCTGTAAGAAGTCTTCATTAAGCTATGTTGCTATAAAGAAGAATGGTATTGTAAATATTTTTATATAAATATAGTTATTTGAATCAGCTAAATGCAGTCCACTGTGGGAGGTTCTGATTTATTTTTCACCAATAGAGAAATTAAAATTCTCTAACAAATTACTATACTACTTGTATGTCTTATCTCTCTTACTATGAGACCCCTTTATATCCATAATTTATCTCTCCTTTTAATCATATTCAAACAAGTGTTTAATCATATAGTACTTCCTCAGGTAGATCGCATTAGATCTCTCAGATCTGATTCTAGCCTTCTTCTTTTGCCAAGTAGTTTTCCAAATTAGTGTATTCAACTTGCCCAGGAGTTTTTCCTGTATTTTTGTGAATGCTGTTGGGAATAAAAAACACAAGTTTGGTATTTTTTGTCTCCCAAACTTTAATGATTGTCTGGCAGGGCGAAACCAGCCATGGGGTGAGGAGCCCCGTGATCCCTTGGCTGCGTCGCTATGAGGTGGAACCGGAAGTCTTATTACCAAGATATCTATGCTACTCTATTCTAGGTAGGCTCTCAGTGATTTATAAGAAAAGGCAATGCATTAAGGCAATGCATTAAAAGCTCAGCTTATCTTTTGTAGTAACATTTTCAAATGTTACCTTTTTATTTTCTAAAAACACCTCTGGGACCCAGAGAAGTTCTAAAAATACTGTACTTTGTTTTGTAACATGTCCACACTCCCATTTCATTATTTTAGTTTTTTAAAAAAATAAAACCCAAAATGATATTTGCTGGCATATTACTGCTAACAGGTGACATCCTGAGGACCTAAAATTATGCTACACATTAAGAGTAAAGCAAAATAAAAAAATGAGAATTATGAATGAATTTTCATACATTTAAGGAAAACATGTGTTTATATTAGATGTGCAAGATTTGCTGACCTATGAATACAATGTCCAGGATCTAGATTAGAGACATTTGACATGTTTCAAAGTGAGACTTCTTCATAATATTCCATTTCCAGATCAGTGAATATCGTACATTCCAATATTTACAATCCCAAATACATTACCTGTTCTCCTCTGTAGATGACATATTCTGCTAAAGCTAGTCCATTCACACTAGGTCGTCCAGTAACTGAATGGTGTCCTGGGGGAGAATGAGCCATTTTCATAGCACTGAACTGTAGGAAGGATTTGCCCAAAGTTACCCGGCAAAAAAGCAACTGCCTATATTAAACAAGAGAAGATTTCATTATTAAACGTGTAAAAAAGAAAAGTAACCCTGAGTACTATGCAAACATTGTGGATGACGGTTTGTTAAAATAATAAACATTATTTTAATCAATTAAAATGCCTTTCTCTTTCCATTCAACTACTCCTATAGCAGAGACCTCTTCTTGGAAACCTCCAGTGAAGGAGTGCACACATCTTCTGGAGGCAAGCTGTTATTAATTGTTCCTGACTATCAGGAAATTTTTCCTTAATTCTAAGTTGGATCTCTCACCGATTAATCTTCCATCTGCTACTTTGCTTGCCCCAGGGTACTTTGGAGAATAGTTGACTGCATTTCTCTCTGACAGGCCTCAAATATTGGAAAACTGCTATCAAGTCACCTCTAGTCCTTCTGCTTGTTAGACTAGACCAGTGGTTCTTAACCTGGGTGATATTGCCCCCCAGGGGGCAATTTCATTTTTCAGGGGGGCGATGGAACGAAAAGGGGGCGATGGAGCAAGAAGTTTTGGGGACACCTTTGAGACTTTTTCATACGGTGAATTGCTGTATATCTGTTGTACAAAAACATCAGATCGCTCGCTATTAGTGGACTGAATTGTGTTTTCAAATGTTCCTCCAGCTAGCTTCAGTACAGAACGCCGCACATATGTGAAGACGCATCACTTATCTTTATGCGCATTGCGCAGCAGCCTCTACCCATACAGTGGCGCGCCATTGGCCAGAATATGGGAGATATGGGAAAAAGACTGGAAATAAATTATTTGCATCGATATGTCCTGATGACAATTTTAAAGAAAACAAAAAAAGTGTTTGCATAAATTGAAGAATTATTTCCTATGTTGTGATTGAGAGGTTATTTTGGGGGAGGGGGTCGATGACAACTTCCTCATTGGCTCAAGGGGGTGATTCGTTCAAAAAGGTTAAGAACCACGGGACTAGACAGTCTCAGCTCTGTATTAGGGCGATACAAAACTGGATGCAGTATTCTACGTGTGTCATACCAGCGCAGTATAAAGAGGTACTATCATTTCATGTGATCTTGATATTCTCGATCCCAGGTTGATGGAACCTGGGACTGCACTGGCTTTTTTGGCCTCTATAGTATGTTCCTAGCTCATTAAGTGGTGGTTCACTAGGACAACTGGATCTCTCTCATAGTAACAACTATTGAGCCAGGTACCACCTATTCTATACCTGTGCATTTGGTTTTTCCTGTTATTTTATTTGTTTAGACCCACTGAAATCTCTGTGCCAAGTAAGATTCTCTGAAAAGGAGCATGTAGCTATAAAAATAAATATAACTTACCTATGGCAGATGTAACAGGACCTATCTTTGTGAATGGGGCAACCTGTGCCACCACCAATACCATAGACATACTGGTTGCTTTTGGAAGAATTTTCAGCAAAATAAATTCCTGCTCCAAACATTCCTCCTATGTAGGCATGCCTCTCATCAAAGCCTTTATGAATAATTGCATTCACAAAAGGAGAGCCTGAATATAAAACAAAGTGGTTTTTATATTCTTCGAATGGAAGTATTTTTACCATATTTAAACATAAAGTTTTTGCCACTTATGCAGAAAAACACACTTGAATTTTTAACCCAGAAAAAAACTGTGACTGAATTAAACATTGGGAGTGGAGGTGGAGGAAGAACATGATACAAAAATCTGATATGGTTACAACTAATCTACATATTCCTTAATTAGCATTGATTTAGTGCATTAGAGACAAATTGGCTTGAGGTCTGCAAATCTATGATTGTGCTATAGAACCAACACCTGATTCTAAATTAGGCATACACAACCACTAAAGATTCAGTTTTATATAGGGCTGTTGGAGACACTGGAAATGCACATTGTGATCTAACTTCTTTAGATAAAATATATACTGTGATATTGTTGGAAAGTAACCATCCCAATCCGGCGGAATGGGGGGAGGTTAAGCAGGGAATTAGCCTGGATTTGTTATATAAACATGACAGAGCAAGGTCTGACCCTTCCTTTCCATGCCTTTGAGTCTTATTTGGTCTTTCCCAGATGAAAGCTGCCTGTCGAGGGAGATTCCTGTATTATAGGCAGAGAACAATAAAATAGCTAGTTTGAACTCTACAGGCATGGATCTGGTTGTTTGTGCCTGACAGATATCATTACAGTCTAGTTATTTTGAATCAATGTATATATAGTATGTATTTACAGGCTACATACTCTGGAAATTCTTTAACAGGATTTGAATTGAGTTGCACAAGAACTCTTTTACTATACCAATTAATCAATTATTGGTTAAAAGTCAATAAAGATCTTGTATATACAACAATCAGAATTTCTAACAATGAACAATATACTGAAATCATCTGAAGAAATACAATATAATTTTTAGAAAAAATGAAATACCATGGAACAACATCCTTTCATTAGCATGATTATGATTCTCTTCAGAAACCTCTTTCCTCCTATGAGTGTATCTTTCCCAAAGCTTTTTGTTACATACTTTTTGTATCTAGGGAGAAAAAAATCCAAAATTTCAATCAATCTTCTTCCATACCTTCTGATAGTAATGCCACTATGCAATGAATATGGAATAAAGAGATCATAATTCTTCCTTAAATAAATCCTTACTGGTAATATAAACTTTCTTTTTCTAGAACTCTTGATAATATAAAATCTTATCTAAAACTAAAATTTTAACAATAGGTAGTCCTCAACTTATGACCAAGTGCCCAAAATAGTCTTGTGACCTTGGGGGGGGGATGCCAACTGTAAGTAGCTTTTTTTTGGGGGGGGGGGGGTCCATCATAATGTCAAAATGGACACTAAGCAACTGGTCCTAAATTGAGGACTACCTATTTTGAACTACCTATTATTTGCATTTGAACTGATCATATTTATATTTTTCAGGTAGTGAGAGAAAAAATTATTTGATCCCGTACTGATTTTGTATGTTTGCCCACTGACAAAGAAATGATCAGTCTATAATTTGAATGGTAGGTTTATTTTATCAGTGAGAGACAGAGTAACAACAAAAAAATCCAGAAAAACGCATTTCAAAAAAGTTATAAATTGATTTACATTTTAATGAATGAAATAAGTATTTGACTCCTTCGCAAAACATGACTTAGTATTTGGTGGCAAAACCCTTGTTGGCAATCACAGCAGTCAGACGTTTCTTGTAGTTGGCCACCAGGTTTGCACACATCTCAGGAGGGATTTTGTCCCACTCCTCTTTGCAGATCTCTCCAAGTCATTGAGGTTTCGAGGCTGATGTTTGGCAGCTCAAAGCTTCAGCTCTCTCCACAGATTTTCTATGGGATTAAGGTCTGCAGACTGGCTAGGTCATTCCAGGACCTTAATGTACTTCTTCTTGAGCCACTCCTTTGTTGCCTTGGCAGTGTGTTTTGGGTCATTGCCATGCTGGAATACCCATCCATGAGCCATTTTCAATGCCCTGGCTGAGGGAAGGAGGTTCTCACCCAAGATTTGATGGCACATGGGCCCATCCATTGTCCCTTTGATCTGGTAAAGTTGTCCTGTCCCTTTAGCAGAAAAACACCCCCAAAGTATAATGTTTCCACCTCCGTGTTTGATGGTGGGGATGGTGTTCTTAAGGTCATAGGCAGCATTCCTCCTCCTCCAAATACGGCGAGTTGAGCTGATGCCAAAGAACTCGATTTTGGTCTCATCTGACCACAACACTTTCACCCAGTTCTCCTCTGAATCATTGAGATGTCCATTGGCAAACTTCAGACGGACCTGTATATATGCATTCTAGAGCAGGGAGACCTTGCGGGCGCTGCAGGATTTCAGTCCTTCATGGCGTAGTGTGTTACCAATTGTTTTCTTGGTGATTATTGTCCCAGCTGCCTTGAGATTATTGACAAGATCTTCCCATGCAGTTCTGGGTTGATTCCTCACCATTCTTATGATCATTGAAACTCCATGAGGTGAGATCTTGCATGGAGATTGGCAGTTATTTTGTGTTTCTTCCATTTGCGAATCATTGCACCAACTGTTGTCACCTTCTCACCAAGCTGCTTGACGACAGTCTTGTATCCCATTCCACAGGGCTTTTTTTGTCATAGAATGCCCAGAACCGAGTTCCGGCACCTTTTTTGGATAGAACCTTGTAGGATAGGCAAGGAGGGTTGTATGACATGTGTGAGTTCCAGCACTTTTTTTTTTTTTAATTACAAACAAGCACTGCCATTCCAGCTTTGTGTAGGTCTACAATCTTGTCCCTGACATCCTTGGATAGCTCTCTGGTCTTGGCCATGGTAGAGAGTTTGGAATCTGATTTGATTGATTGCTTCTGTGGACAGGTGTCTTTTATACAGGTAACGAGCTGACATTAGGAGCACTCCCTTTAAGAGAGTGCTCCTACTGTAATCTCAGCTCGTTACCTGTATAAAAGATACCTGGGAGCCAGAAATCTTGCTGATTGATAGGGGATCAAATATTTATTTCACTCATTAAAATGCAAATCAATTTATAACTTTTTGGAAATGCATTTTCCTGGATTTTTTTGTTATTCTGTCTCTCACTGTTAAAATAAACCTACCATTCAAATTATAGACTGATCATTTGTCAGTGGGAAAATGTACAAAATCAGCAGGGATTAAATAATTTTTCCCTCATTATTTAATGACTGAATAAGGGTATACATACAGTTAAAATCACAAATTCAAATGAAATTATAATGTTAAATAATAATAAATGTTAAGGAAAAAATCATCCACACAGCAGAATAACTTCAACTAAAATGTCAATCAGTCATCAATTAGCTGTAGACAAAGATTTTTAACTCCCAAATTTCTTTAAAAATAATGCATTATTTAGAAGCCACTACCTAACCCCTTTCAGCTTTTAAAATTAACTACTCACTTAAGAGAAGGATACCAGAGTTACCTACACATTACCTTTAAGATGTTGTATCTGTTGAAAATTCCACCAGCATGGCCACCATCTCTGTGCTCTCGTACAGTGCTTTGCATCTTAATATTAAAATATACACAAATATATAAATAAAATCTAAATCAAAACATCCAAATTTAAATCAGCTGAATAAAACTTTCTTGTCTAGAAATAATTTCCTCATAATTGATCAGTGTTCCCTACCGGGGAAACTGGCATCGGCTTATTTTGCAGAATCTCAAATGTAGATTCATATATTCTCATTTGAAGCAGGTAGATAGTGGATGAAATTTACATTAGTCCTCATTTCAATTAATTCTTTGGAGACAGTCACGAGTACTGCTTACTACAGTATAATCCATCTCAAAACATTTTTTTCCTCCTGTTCAATCTTGTCTGATTCTTGAAGCCACCTGGTTTCTAGCCTAATACCTTTACCACCACACCAAACTGGCTCTCTCAAAAGATAACTTACTATTACCATAACTGTGATTACATTACACTGTAAACTGCCCTTGGGTTTGAAGAGTGGAAAACAATAACATGAAATTATGACTAATTGTTCCCCAAGAAGTCAGGGTTGATTGCTGAATCAGTCATACCAAGAAAATTACAGTTACATTTATTGTATTTTATAGCAATAGATTTAATTAATACTAGACATAATATTTAAGGTCGCTAGACACGTTTGAGAATTTAAAGATATACATTAATAATATACCTCATCCTCCACCGACTGAAACTCTTTATCATCAGGAGAGAGATCTATAAGAATCGTCCCGCTGCCCGAAGTATTCAATGTTAGATATGTGTTAAGACCTAAGAGAAACAGCAACATTAGCACTGCATCTTGAATACATTTTAGACGTACTGATGACTCACCCACTTTTTTGGGGGTGATTAAAATAAATAAAAACTGCAATGCTACAATTTTGAACTATAGAAATGTATAAAATGTAGTTTAATTAAATATTTTATTTATTATAACATACCTTGCTGTCCAGAGATCAGTCTCTCAACTCCTTTAATTATTTTGTGTCTATGACCATAAGCATTAATTCCAATTTCTTTTAATTCTCTGTGCCCCATTTCAACAAGTACATCCAATGTTATCTGCAAAGAAAATGAATTATTAAATATTAAAATTATTAGTTTTCTTTATAAGAATTCAAAATTGTGGTCAGATTTTTGCATTTCAACTGGTAATGTTTTTACAGAAGCCATACTGCTATTTAATGCTTAGAAACAAGAGTGAAATAGTTATGACATGCTAACAACAAAAACCTTTGTCTGATTAAAGTACAATTAAAAAAAACCTAGCTTATCAAAAAGGATTATCGGATCACAATTTGTTTTCTTAATTAACCATGGAAATATATTCTGCATTTTGAAAATAAATCTTAACATGTTTTTCTTTAAAATGTATTTAAGAAAATATGTCACAGTCTACTGCTTGAATAACAGATACATGTCTTATTGTTTTATTATCATTATCACTAATTTAAAACACTAATAAATTTAATTAAAATAAAATAGTTTGAAATGCTAGGATAGGAAGTATTATATTACATATTTCAAATGTTTCACACAAGGGCTTTAAGATGCAACAAGCCATACAAGGTTTGCAGCTACACAATCGAAACTCAGATATGAATGCTACTTCTTCATATGCAAAACAGCTATATCCAAACTGACCATATAGCCCAAAGGACAATATCAATCTATTTTATTGTAAATTGTGAACTCTGATTTGCCATACCAGAAAAAAGAGGGAGAGAATTGTACCAGATTATACTTCAAAAGATCAATGAGTAATGACAGGAGGCAAAAATGATGCCTTAGAACAGCAGCCCCCAACCTTGTGGGCACCAGGGACCGGTTCCATGGAGAAAGGTTTTTCCACAGACCAGAGGAGGCGTGGTTTTGCATGCTGCCTGCATCCCACGGGGCTTCACTTGTTTGTGCGGCCCGGTTGCCGGCATGCTGCAACCCAGTGCCGGTCCATGGACCGGGGGTTGGGACTGCTGCCTTAGAAGATGCTGAATATGTGGAAGCTTCTTGCATAATTCTTTTTATCTGGATCAACAAATTTAATTCACTTTATTAGTAAAACATGATGTAATAAAAATAAAAATATCATTTCCTTAAAAAGGTGTTCATGTTTAGCACAATTGGAACTTTGAATTATTGGTATAATTATTAATTAATATGGGTAAATCGGTGTTCATATCTTTATATTTCCTGAAGACTAGCAAAAATAATTTGCAGACAAAGTCAATTCTCTAAAATATATCTTAATTAATTTAAGAAATGTTTTAAGGAACTGGAAGAGTGAATGCTGGTGTGCATTCATCAGTATTTTAACTTAGCTGTTTGAAATTCAAGATATAATCAATCTCCACAAATCCTGGTTATGAGCTTTCTCCCAAGCTAAAATTTAAATCAATGATTTTGCAACAGTTTCCCTTAAAATTTATTGTTTACTTGGTTTCCAAACTAAAACGGTTACTTACCTGCTCTCTTTCAAGTATGTCAATCAAATGTTCAAGTCCAAGATTTCTCACAAATTGATTGATGCTAAAATCTACACTGAGAACTAAATATGAAAGTTATTATTAGTTACATATAAGAACAAGCTTAAAAAACTTTTTTGGGCTAGAATGTAGGGAAATCCTACAGTAAACATAACATGTCGAAGCCCACAATTAATGACTTTCATGATGCTAATTTTTTCCAGGAAAAAGATACACAAGACTTCCAAAATCTTAAGATATTAGAAATTGAATAAATCAGTTTCATGGCTGCTCATTTATGTAAGCTTCAAGTCAAACATAGATACATTTAACTCACAGATAGGTATTTAAATGATCACTTAAATATACTTTCATTTGGATTCTTGCACTGAGAAAGATGTTGGACTAACAGTCCCTCCTACGATTCTGTATTAAAATTATATCAAATAAATATGAATCTGTGATGCAGAAACACAGTTTTAATCAGATCATCATTAGATGTTAGTCTTAATGCATAAGTAAACTGCCCTTCATTTAGCAACTTCAAGCTGACCCAGCAGAAAATGCTAGACTCACCTTCTTTCTTTTCCAAACTAGAAGTTCCTTCAGCACTGTTTGTATTAACAACTGAGAGTTCAGAAAAGCTACCAGACAAGCTGTCCAGACTACTGGCAGCTGACAAATTAGATGGGCTGGACGGCATGGAAGAAAGTGAATCAGCTGAAGTTCCTGTATTCTGAGATACATTTATAACCTGAGGCTTATAACAAGATGGCAAGGCGAAAACTGGCATGGCAGCTGCCAAGAGTGCGCTAACATCATCTGCCTGGAAATTTAAAAAAAAATTACATTTTGTTAAAATAGTCACAAATGCATGCAAGTTAAGTTGCAAGGTTAGATAAACAGGTGCTTTACTTGAATTATTCCAATTTTCTTTTTGTTACTTACAATGTCGTTTCAGATATTCTGGCCCAAAGGTTCCTTGAGTATGGTAACTCCGATGCCAAGACTGAGTCATACTTAAATTTTAGTTCTGATTAAGGGTCAGATTAAAATCTATTTCCTGCTACAAACTTGAATAGGATCACTCCCTTGCTTTCTAAGCTACCTCTCATAGGCTTAAAGATTAAAATGCTGCATTTGTAACCTACGATCCTATACTCAACTTACCTGGGAGAGTGCCCTGCTGAATTCAGAGGAACATACTTCAGAGTACACAGCTGTAGGATAGCAATTTAAAATCACTAAATGCTTATAGGATACAGCTAAATGCACAATGGTGCCAATTTAAACATAACAATGAATGGGCGATTTTGGACTTAACTGAATGTATTTACATTACTCGTGGTACAGTCAGGTCCAGAAATATTGGGACATCGACACAATTCAAACATCAAACAATTGGCTCTATACACCACCATAATGGAGTTGGAATGAAACAAACACAATGTGCTTTAACTGCAGACTGTCAGCTTTAATTTGAGGGTATGTACATCCAACTCAGGTGAACGGGGTAGGACTTACAGCAGTTTGCATATGTGCCTCCCACTTGTTAAGGGACCAAAGGTAATGGGACAGAATAATAATCATAAATCAAACTTTCCCTTCTTAATACTTGGTTGCAAATCCTTTGCAGTCAATCACAGCCTGAAGTCTGGAATGCACAGACATCACCAGACGCTGGGTTTCATCCCTGGTGATGCTCTGCCAGGCCTCTACTGCAACTGTCTTCAATTCCTGCTTGTTCTTGGGGCATTTTCCCTTCAGTTTTGTCTTCAGCAAGTGAAATGCATGTTCAATGGGATTCAGGTCAGGTGATTGACCTGGCCATTGCATAACATTTGTTAGAGAATTTTAATTTCTCTATTGGTGAAAAATAAATCAGAAGCTCTCACAGTTGACTGCATTTAACTGATTTAAATAACTTTATATTTATATAAAAATATTTACAATACCATTCTTCTTTACAGCAACATAGCTTAATGAAGATTTCTTACAGAGACAGACCAGAGACAAAACCTTGAGATTGGAAATCCAGCTCCTAACTCAATACTCTTTTTTGCACAGACTCAGTAGCACTTTCTTCCCATTGGCTGACTGAGTTACCACATGACTCTTCCTGTTCATGAATATTCCAACACTCCTCCCTTCATGACAGGAAGAGACATCAGACCTATTGACTTAACACATTCTTAAATTGTGAAAAAACTTTGTGCCACTAACCTGGCCTTATACTGTATATCATTATTTGGCAATACCTTTTTCTTATATACCCACTTACAACCCACAGCTTTGGTTCCCTGTGGCAAAGTCACTGATTTAAATACTTCATGGTCTCCCATGGATTTCATCTCTTTATCCATGGCCTCCTTCCATTTTTCTTGTTCAGCTTTTGGTAATGCCAACACCTCTTTATAACTTCTTGGCTCATACCACACATTGCAAACCTTTACCTTGCTGGCAGAATACCTGTCAGGCGGAATTCCTTTATTACATCGCTCTAACCTACGTGGTATTAACTGCTCCTGTGTCTCAAGTCTTTCTGGTTTCATGTCTTGTTCAGCTTCTCCTCCCTGAACATTGACATCTTCAATTATTTTTTCATCATGAGTTATTGTCACTAAACAGATCACTGTCATTAAGTGAGACATACCCAGAATTTGCATTAATTCTGTCCCAATTTTGTTCTGCAAAATTAGCAGACCTTGAAATTATAATTCTTTCACTTCCATTGCTAAAGCGATACCCTTTTGACCCTGGCTCATAGCCCACAAACCTGAGCTTTCTTGCTTTTTGCTGTCCCTTTCTTCTGATTACCTTTGGAATATGTACCCATGCAATACTTCCAAAAATTCTCAAATGTGCCAGTGATGGCTTTCTCCCATATAGAATGGCATATGGAGTATTATTAATGGAGGAACTCCATAGCCTGTTAACTATATAATTGGCAGTCAATATGGCTTCTCCCCAATATGCCCTGCTCAAACCAGAATCCTCCAATAATGAATCTTTCATTGTTTGCAAAACACCATTCCTTCTTTCAGCTAGACCGTTCTCTGCTGCTGTGTAAGGATTTGTACGTCTGTGTCTTATCCCCAACTGCCCCAACCATTGTTGGAATTTAGTTGACATAAATTCAGTACCTCTGTCAGTTTGCAACTGACACACTTGTTGTCTGTACCTTCTCTCTACAAAACTTACCCACTGTTTGAATTGTTGTAGCACCTCTGTCTTTGCTCTAAGCAAGTAGCAAAACGAATACCTGCTATAATCATCAACAATTACCAGTGCATATTTTGCTCCTCCCAAACTGGCTTGCATAGGTCCCATCAGATCTGCATGGACCAGCTCTAGAACTCTTTTTGTTTGTCTTGTGCTACATTTTGATGAAAGTTAGCCCAGAAGGAAATATTAAAAAGGGCAGAAAAATATATTTTTCCTCAAAAGGACTTTTTAAAACCAAACTTGGCCCCAAATCTATCTCTCTGCCCCAAGCAAGAGCTAGGACCATACAAATGCAAAACCATCAGAAAGTTGGAGCCAGAGCAATCAAGAAGACAAAAGAGAAGATCTGCATACCCCACCCAAACTCTAGGAGTCAGCCCCATCACTGGGAATCAGGATATGATAATAGAATTAAACCACAGATATCAAGGCCTAGACAAACACTCAGAAACAGCCTCAAGGTTCATGCCACAGGAACAGGAAATTATTCCAAACAAAAGGCTAGGGGGGGTATAAAACCTACTGCCCATGTGCTCAATCTTCCCTGCCCCTCTCTCTTCTCTCTCCTCTGCACTTTCCTGAAGAACCATCTTTCTGCAATAAACTGTAACCTTCTTCCCAAAGCAGTCGCCATGTTTGCTTATTTATTCCTGGCTTGGATGAACCAGGATGAAGACTTTACTTCTAACAATTTGGCACCCCAGATGGGACTCCAAGCTAACCTCTCCAATGGACTGAGACTGGTAAGCCCCATCTTGCCGGCAGCAGACCCCCTTGTGTCTGTGGATGGGTTTCCCAGGCCTTGCCCATGTGGAGCTAAGGTAGTAAAGGGAGTTTTGAGAGTTTGAGCTCAAGGGCTGCTTTGGAAAGAAGGTGAAGGTGAGTACCTCTAAATTTTAAGTTAAAAGCCCAGGGGAACAAAGAAAATGTGTGTATTTCTGTTTGTGTGAGTGAGAAGATCTTTTTTTCCCAATCACAGTTGGATTTTGCTGCTTCTGGCCTTTCCTAGCCGCAGAAAGGATCTGTTTAATTGGCAGAACCTGGAAAGCATGGGGGTTGGCCAGAGCACAGAACCTTGTGTTAGGGAAAAGGGAGAGACTGTGTGAAAATGAAATGGAATGAGTGAATGAAAGAATTGGATTTGGGCAACTAGCTGGTAAGGCCCTGTAAGCAAAGCAAAGTTAGGAAATTAAGCCTCAAGAAGGGAGCGACCACCTACCTCCGAGAGCAAGTGGAGGTGCCCACGGACATTAGAGGCGTCCGTAAACGGTGGGGTAAAGCCGGCCGGTAGAAGAGTAGCCCGTACCTTCTGAGGGAAACTGGAAGGTCTCTGCAGACCCTTTTTTGGTCTGAAAACGTGGAGGATCCCTCGGAGGAGCCCACGAACTCTGAGAGGGATCCAGAGAAGCTCCGTGAGTCCCCTTTTTTTGGACTCACAAAATCGTGATAGTAGGGAGAAGTCTCACAAGGAGACTTCTGACGGATCGTGCCCTTTAGTGGTAGGGAAATCCCATTATAGAAACATGGGAAGTTCTAATTCAAGGGCGGAAGTAGGTTTCCCGGTTGAGAGCTTGCTCGTGGCCTGGGACAGGAACCAGTTACCTGTCCAGGCCGGAATGGAAAAGAGGTAGGTAAAGAAACTATATGGGGGAAAAGAAAAAACAATACAGACTTTGCTTAGGGCCTTGCTGGGAAACCAATTTGGCTAAATAAAGGTACTTAAAAGGGAAAATAAGAAATAGTGATTCTCTCTCTATCTCTCTCTTCTCTATGCAACCACATGGTATGTTTAAAATGTGTGCCTTCCCTAACTTGAGTTATCTGAAATTTATGGTGGGAATGACTAAGATGTGTAAAACTAAGACTTCTGTTCTCTTGTCTTTGTGTATGTATGTTTGTCAAAGTCTGTGCGTGAGAGGTAAATGTGACTGTTAACTGTTTCAAATCCAAAGGAAAAAGAATTTTAAATTCTGCTAGAAATTCTGCTTAAAATAAGCCACAAAAAGGAAATACCTCACTCTGTTTGTCTGGCCAACAAACAGAGTGAAGAAAAAAAAAATGTGTTTGTTTGTTTGTTTGTTTGTTTTTCTCTGTCTCTGTGTACGCTCAAGAACAGCTTTAAGTTACTAGGAGGGATTGCTTTAAGTTTATCTGTTGGAAACGTTTCACTTGCATTTACTGTATGTGTTTTATCTATCTTTTTCCTGAAAAATGTGTGTCTATCTACAAAAGCCTTTTGAAACTCAAGTCTTCTTGTGTGGGGAAATAACCTTTTAAAGTTACTTTTCTTATCCTATCACTTACTGGTGAAACTACTATGAAGCTTTCTGAAACATAAGCATTTTCCAATCTCTAAAATAATGTGGTCTATTTTAGAATAAATGTTCTCCTACCCTTGGCAAGTTGCACATCTTAAAATATTAGGCTTTTAAAATTATTTGGAGTTCTCAGCATTTTCAAACTGCCTGCAAGCTACCCCCCTTCCAATTCTTTTCCTGTCCTTTGTTCTCCATACCTTTTGTCTTCCTCTCCTGGGAGAGTCCATCCAGAAAGGGGGGAGACCTTGTTCTTGTATCTTTCAGCCCTGAAACCCTCTCGCAA